TTTTCTCCGAAATTAAAAAAAAAAAAAAATCTATCTCCTAAGTCGTTTCCTCTGGAAAAAACACGGATTTAACTAAGCATTTTCTGTCTCTGAAATTTACCGTAATAACAAGTCATGGTAGCTTTAACCAGGCCTTGGGACACTGTCCTTTTCCACTTTGGAAAAATGGTAAAGAATGATGCCGAGGAGAAATTGGTAAAGGAATCCTGAGCTCTGTTGATCCTCAGACTGGAAGAAGGGAGAGGAAGTCTCATGCAGGGTCCTACAGAGACCTAGCTTTGTAGTTGTCATCACTTAAATATGCTTCCAGGTGGCGGTGTAATCGCAAGGTGACTCACATTGGATGTTTTTATTCTCCTGAGACAGACCCGAGTGCCAGCTAAGGATCGTAGGGCACTGTCCCTGTAGCCAGCAGAGCCTGAATTACTGGATGGTTAACACCTTCAGAGAGCCCTGTTTGTATGTTCACTTTAGACAACCTTATTATTATTAAGAGTTGTTCATAATAATTTGTCAGGCTACTAACAGCATTGAGGATAGGTTCTCGGTGAAGTGTATAGCTTTCCTAAGGAAATGGTTACTTAGTGCAGATAAGGCTCACACTTCATTAACAAAAGTAAACAGGATGAAAAGACACAGAAACTGGGCTCAGTTGCTGTCTAAACTTAATACGTATATCCTAGCTTTTCTATTTTTTTTTTTATGTGATCCCGACTGCTCTCACTAGAATTCTGAATTTATGAAGTCTACGTGCACACACATTTTTCTCTGTGCTACAATATAGCTGGAGAACCTGGTGTCTGAACTCTGAGTGGCTTTAGAGCTGGGTTTGCAGTCCGTGTGCGGAAGAACAATCCTGGAATAGCTCTGTGTACACTCACCTTCAGTAATGCCATTATCACCTCCAGGATGAAACCCACCTTCCGTCTTGCTCTCTGCAGACTGACCGCAGGCTTTCTTTTCGACCTTATCCCTTACCGCTCCCTTTATGAACCCTTCGTGACTGTCCCCTAGACGTGCTGGGCTCATTTCATCTTTTGAAGTTCTACCCTTCTGATTCCAGTTCGTCTTTCGAGATTCAGTTCATTTTGGGCCCCGTCAGGGAGGCTTTCCTGACTTCCAGCATCCTAGAGTAGCACCTACGTGGCCCTTCGGTTTTGAAGGCTGTTTGTAATGTTTTCTAATTTACTAAGACCCCTTCTTCGAGTCCACAGGGAGGAGCCTTTCTAGACCTCTGTCCCCAAGAGAATGAAAACATAGATAATATCCAAGGAAAACACTCATAGGAAGGGCAATTAGGATTTTGTGAAAGTTTTGTTTCAATGACAGATATGTATCTAGGCTTTACCAAGTAAAATATGTTTTTTCTGTAGGACATTCTCAAAAAAAGACTTAGAAAAAAAAGACAACTCAAGAAATAGGCATTGGATATTGAAATGACAACTTCTTAGTACCATCCAGGGCAGTGTCTAACCGTAAAAATTAAGAGCTACTGGATTTTTTAAAAAGCTGAGATACTATGTGTGTTTATAATAAGATATAAAAGCACATCTCCACAATTTTTTTACTTTGTAATATTTAATAATTAATATTATTAATAATTATTTTTTTTAATGTTTATTTTTGAGAGAGCCTCAGTGGGGGAGGGACAGAAGAGAAGAGGGAGGAAGACACAGATACTGAAGCAGGCTCCAGGCTCTGAGCTGTCAGCACAGAGCCCGACGCGGGGCTCGAACCCACAGACCGCGAGATCATGACCTGAACTGAAGTTGGATGCTTAACCGACTGAACCACCCAGGTGCCCCTAAGTTTTTATTATTTTTAAGTAATCTCTGCACCCATTGGGGCTCAGACTTAGTAAGCCAGACATCAGGAGTCCCACGCTCCACCGACTGAGCCAGCCCTATCGTAGAAGTCTTTGTGAAATGAGTCAAGACTATTATTCTGTCACGATGTGGCTTTGGTATCTCAACCTGGTACTTAGCAACATCAATATTATTCATTAAATTTTTGTTAGGAAGAGGTAGTTTTCATGATCTCAGGTATCCCTGGGGAGGGTGTGTTTCTATCCCTGGCTCCTTTCCTAGCTCTTCTTCAGCGTTCTGACATTCGCAGGCTGGCCTGGGACTTGGGTGGGTGAGGGAGAGATCAGGAAAGAGCACAGTGCTTGGAGTCAGAACACTTAGCTGATCAACCTCGGGTGAGTTGTGTAACTTTGCTGCCCTGTAGTCATTCCGTCTTGTAAGTACATACAGAAAATGACCTCAGCCTACCTGTTGAGTTGTTGTGGTAGTCAAACAAGGTAACAAATATAGCAAACGTTTGGGAAAATGCTGTCAAAAGATTTCAAAATGGATTTAAAAAAACTTTATTTGTCTTTATTTATTTTTGAGAGAGACAAAGCATGAGTGGGGGAGGGGTAGAGAGAGAGGGAGACACAGAATCCGAAGCAGGCTCCGGGCTCTGAGCTGTCAGCACAGAGCCGACCGGGGACTCAAACCCGCAAACCACAAGATCGTGACCTGAGCCAAAGTCAGATGCTTAACTGATGAGCCACCCATGCACCCCTCAAAATAGATCTTAAGCCCGCCATCATTTCAAAAAGGATTTGAGGCAACTAAGTGCCAAGATGTAAGATGGTTTTCCTGTTCTTACCAGTCCTGAGCCGTAGACCCTGTGGTCACTCTCCCATGTGACTGTGTTCCCGTGCCCCCGGCCCTCAGGCAGGCAGCTCCTTATCGTCGGTCCTCAGTGAGGGGGAGTTTCTGACACCTGCTCGCTAGCGAAGGCAAGCTAACCTGGCAGTCCTACCCGCTGTTCGCTCCAGTTCCGCGCTCCCCTGTTTCCTCCGCAAACATCTCCTCCTGCCGTGAGCCTGCAGGGGGTGGGCGCGTTGAGCGGCCCTGAGCGCAAAGGACCTAAGAGCAAAGACAGGCTCCTGCATTGCCACGGGAACCCTCACGCTCAAAAGCGAACAGGCAGAAGCATTCATGTCCCTCAGTCGGAAACAGGCCTTTCCCGTGCTGTTCCCGAGACCCATGGGGTGTAAATCAGAGCGTCCCAGGAAAGTTTCCGAAGCACCCAAATCCACCCAGGAAACTAGACGC